GTTTAGATGCAGTGATAAGTTTATTTAGCTCTTCCTGCCCTATAGTTGTAAAGCACTGCAATTTTTCTTTGGGTGCGATGAATGAAGCTGAGTTACAAGATGCTGTCGATTCTACATTTGTTATTGTATTTCTGATGCTATCTATTTTATCAGTGAAGAAATTAATAAAGTCATCACAACTAAACTGTGGGGGAATATTAAGTTCAGGTGACGTCTGATTATTTGTTAATCTAGCCCAGGGGTGGGCAAACTTGGCACTTCCAAGTCACTTTCCTTCAGAGTTTAGCTCCAACTCTAATCAAACACACCTGAACCAGCTAATCATTGTCTTCAAGACGACTAGAAAGCTACAGGCAGGTGAGTTTTATCAGGGCTGGACCAAATCTCTGCAGGAAAGTGGCCTGGAAGGGCCAAGTTTGCCCATCACTGATCTAGCCACTGCTAAATAAAAACCTTGGATTGTTTTGGTTATTTTCTGTGAGTTTGTGGATATGCTCGGCCCTGGCAGCTTTTAGAGCCTGTCTATAGCTGGACATACTGTTTTTCCACGTAATTCTAAAAACGTCCAACTTAGTTTTTCTCCATTTGCGCTCAAGACTACGAGTTTCTTTCTTGAGATAATAGGTATTACTGTTGTACCATGGCGCAGTACGTTTTTCTCTAACCTTTTTCAATTTGATGGGGGCAACAGCTTCTAATGTGTTTGAGAATATAGTGCCCATATTACTAGTCATTTCGTCTATTTCATGTGTACTTATGGGCACACAGAGCAGTTGAGATAAATCAGGCAGGTTATTTGTGAATCCATCTTTGGTGGCTGGAACAATAGTTCGGCCCGGACGATAACGCGGAGCCATATAGTTAACATCAGTAATACGCAGCATGCATGATACAAGGAAATGGTCAGTAACATCATCACTTTGAGGTACGATATCTATATCAGTAAGATCAATTCCATGCGATATAATTAAATCAAGCGTATGATTAAAACAATGAGCCCCATTCATGAAACACGAGCAGTACGAATTTTTGTGTAAATCGTTCGTAAAGCTGTTCTGACGTAAACTTTCGAATTCATGAAAATGTTCGTATTTTTACAATGTTAGTTGGTATGAAAGAAATGTACACCTGCTCCTTACCAGGTGTAAATGGTGCGTAAAACATTCTGTGTTCTTTTTGACAAACTGATGACACTGCATTTTGATGCACTGCCATAATAATTACAAGTTCATTTGCCCTTGCCCTCTTGTTGAAATTTTTTTTTTTGAGTTGATAACTGTAAAACGCAGCGCTCGTCACTATTTACCGAGACGCAAATAGAGGACGGGTGGGACATAGCGACCAACCATCCTGCTTGTACAACGACTGCCTACAACAGTGTTTCTCAACCCTGGTCTTGAGCACCCCCCAACACTGCACATTTTGTATGTGTCCCTTTTCTGACACACCCATTTCAGGTCCTGAATACTTATATCAGTAAGATCAATTCCATGCGATATAATTAAATCAAGCGTATGATTAAAACAATGAGCCCCATTCATGAAACACGAGCAGTACGAATTTTTGTGTAAATCGTTCGTAAAGCTGTTCTGACGTAAACTTTCGAATTCATGAAAATGTTCGTATTTTTACAATGTTAGTTGGTATGAAAGAAATGTACACCTGCTCCTTACCAGGTGTAAATGGTGCGTAAAACATTCTGTGTTCTTTTTGACAAACTGATGACACTGCATTTTGATGCACTGCCATAATAATTACAAGTTCATTTGCCCTTGCCCTCTTGTTGAAATTTTTTTTTTTGAGTTGATAACTGTAAAACGCAGTGCTCGTCACTATTTACCCAGACACAAATAGAGGACGGGTGGGACATAGCGACCAACCATCCTGCTTTTTCTCAACCCTGGTCTTGAGCACCCCCCAACACTGCACATTTTGTATGTGTCCCTTTTCTGACACACCCATTTCAGGTCCTGGAGTTTCTTTTAATGAGCTAATGGTTGAATCTGGTGTGTTTGATTAGGGAGACACACAAAATGTGCAGTGCTGGGGGGCGCCCAGGACCAGGGTTGAGAAACACTGGCCTACAACAATGAAGAATTCAATATTACTGGTTACTGCTTTTTTATATTTAGTAAAAAATCTTAAAAATGAGATACTAGTAATACGTTGTCGCCGTGGATATTCCAAATCAAAGCAACTATAGCGTCTCAGCTGGAAAAACGGGGGGGGGGGTTGGCCGGCACCCAAATTCTTAAAAATGAGATACTAGTAATACGTTGTCGCCGTGGATATTCCAAATCAAAGCAACTATAGCGTCTCAGCTGGAAAAACGGGGGGGGTATCAGCAGAGCACCTACTATTAATCACCTCCCTAAGATCTCCTTTATTTTTTCTAACGTTATGCTTCCTCTGAGCTCGACTCCAGGAAGGGGGGGGGGTGCTCGAGTAGCCACGCTAGTTTTCTGGTCCTGTCTACAATTCTCAGATCACAGTAGACCAGCCCCCTCAAAGGCTTGGGGATGTGATCTGGTTCAGCGAAGGATGTACCGCCCAAAACTGCAGATTGCACTCTCACCTCCTTGAACTTCTCAACTACCACCTCAACGGATGGCGAGAGCGGAGCAAGAAAGTTTTTCTCTCTCCCGATGTCTGCCAAATTCAGTCACAGATGCTGCTCCATGACCACCATTGCCGCTATTACTCGACCGATAGCGGCAGCAGTCTGCTTGGGGGCACAAAGAGCGAGATCCGTGGTGCGGTGCAGCTCTTCAACAGCCTCAGGGGACAAACCCTTGCTCTCATCCAGATCTCTAAGCAGGTCAGACTTGTAGGTTTGTAACACAGCCATAGTGTGTAAAGCCGCTCCTGCCTGACCCACCCCCAATCCAGATCTAACCTTTTTGCAGCGCGAGCCATAACCTGCAACATTTTCCTGTATGCGGGGCTAAAGGGCTGGTATGATTCAGTGCTCACACTCTCCCCATCATCACCAACAACATCCACTTCCTCATCGTGACTGGATGATGCCAGCAGCGCGCTACCCACCGGATCGGATGACTCAAGTGAGAGCACATTCAGATCCCCTGGCATGCTTGAGCCCATGCTAGAAGATTTAGAAAGATCCAAATCTCTCTCAGACTCCTCCGTGAGCTCTACCTGTGATCCCCACAACTGGAGCTTCCGCTGTGCCTCGGCAGCAGTGTGGCCCGAGCTGCGAGATGCAGATGCCTGTCCTGTATCATAGATGTATGATACAGATGTATCATACCTATACATGGCAGCTTCTCTCTCTGGGTCAAGTGAGATCTAAATGTTTGCTGTGATCATACTTTATGAAAAGGTCTTTTGTGTACATAGAAAAAGTCTTAGATCTTTGAGTTCAGCTCATGAAAAATGGGGGCAAAAACAAAAGTGTTGCGTGTATAATTTTGTTCCGTGTAAATATAATGAACTAAAGCAAGGCTGTAACCATGTCTTGAACGTTGTGGGTGGTACCATTTTCTTTTTTATAAAGCATAAAGTAAAGGAAATTCTAGATTTAATTCTATTTGGTAAGTAATCATTTTGAAATAATACTTTAAAAACATGTACTTTTATTTGTATGCCTAATAATATTTTGTCTCACCACATTCAGTTAGGAATTACATTAATCTCATAAAGATTACTGTTGGTGATTTTAATATTTATATAGTAAAACTGTTTTTCAAATATTAAATGTTTTGATACTTTTCTCTTACCTCGCTCTCTTCCAGTGCTTCATGCTGGAATTCGCACTGTGCTGAACAGTAAACCCATCCTATTTTGATTTGATTGACCATCTCAGTCATTTTGACATTGACGAGCACTGTTATACTGCTGAGGCACACCAGCCTGAAAATATAACTTAAACCTTTTTGTCATCCTAACAACAAACAGAGCACTGCATAATGGAGTGCAGCAGATCAGTGCAAAAAATTTCAAATGTTGTGGGGACGGGGGACAATTTGGCCATTTCTAATTAAATTTTCTAATTACTCAGTGTCTGGGGTGGTTATGGCCCTGAACTAAAAAAAAACAAAAAAACAATAATTTCTATGTGTTTTCTCAGTATCTGGAATCAGAGAGCTTCATCTCCAGAACCCAGCTCTGTGTCTCTGAAGAGTGACAAATCATTGCCTCTTCCTCCTACATTCAGTGATGAACCAGTGACCTCTGGTCAGCTGTGAGTATAAGCATGTAGTGGTGATTTAACATCTCTAAAGGAGTCTATAACGCACTGAATTCAGACAAGGAGATGTTTTTTTTTTCTCAATGATGGAAAATTAACTGACTTTTTAACTAAAATTTAAATGTAAGACATCAGTTATACAGAAAATACGAGCCTGACATCTGTATTGTGTAAGGCTGGGATCTTAAGCTGCTACTCTGAACCAGTAATCGGAACAGAAAGCAGTTGAAGGATGAAGTGCTTAATTCATTTATTTGTCTTGACTCCAGTATAATTTATCTAATTTCATTAAAGTTGTTGTTATTATTTAACCTCTTATTCTCTAAAGGTAAATGTGTTTTTTAGAACTGATAGGAAAATGTAGGATTGAAACTAAACATTTAGCTTACAAAAGTCACTTTAGCTTTCAACTTTATCAGTGGTAAAAGGAAAGATTCTCAGAGCCTTAAAGCAGGACCCAGCGCCCGGTCTGCATATTTTGAATGTCTCACTTAGTTAACACACCCGATTCAGATAACCAGCTCGTTAGAAGTGAGCTACGTGCGTGAACTGTGTTCAGATCGATATGATCCCTACACAGTGTTCATTGCTCCCTACTCCCTGAGCGGGGGAAATCCGTTGAAGTTTACTTCACTTCGGAACATGGGCTGGAATTGGGAACCGCTGATGTAGCCTATTGTAGTAATGTTGTCTCTGGTCTGTGAGTGTAAATGCGTTCAGGGGGCGTGGCTTTGGACGGCGATTGCAGGGAGGGTGGGACGTTCGCTTTCAGTGCTATCAGGCTAAAGTTAGCATTTCCCAAGTTCTCCTACTGCACATTTAATAATGTATTGAGGCCATAAAGAGTTGCACCAATATTATCTCAGCCCTACAACTGATTGACAATATCATTTACGTTTTAACTGTGTTCATACATGTACATTTTTTAATTAATTTCATATAATTTAATCATTTCTTTTGTTGTTGTTGTTGTTTCAGTAGTGTGTATAAAGACAGTCAGACTGAAGACGTACAGCAGGATTCTCTTGGACCAGTGAATGATGAACTACAGAAAGTCAAAGAGCAGCTCAAAACCAGCATGAAGAACAAGTATGAGAGATTATTTGAGGGACTGAAACTCCAGGAGAATGAAAGCCTCCTGAACAGCATCTACACACAGCTCTACATCATAGAGGGAGAGAGAGAAGGAGTGAATGAAGAACATGAGGTTTTACAGATGGAGAAAACAGCCAGAACACAACACTCACAAGACACTCCAATCTACTGCAATGACATCTTTAAAGCCTCAGCTGAAGCAGGATCTGAGGAGAAAGAGCAGATCAAGACTGTTCTTACTAAAGGCATCGCTGGAATCGGAAAAACCGTCTCTGTGCAGAAGTTCATTCTGGACTGGGCCGAGGGAAAAGCCAATCAGGACGTAGATTTCATGTTTGTGCTTCCATTTCGAGAGCTGAACTTGATCCGAGATCATCAGTACAGTCTTCACAGACTTCTGCTGGACTTTCATCCTGAACTTCAAGATCTGGACTCACAGATTTATGAGGAGTGTAAAGTTGTGTTCATCTTTGATGGTCTGGATGAAAGCAGAATCACACTGATGTTTTCAGACGCTCAGAAAGT